GCTGGCGTGCTGGTTGGGATTTGGCCTCTTTCTGGTCCTCCTCTGGTTTTTCCTCTGCTCCTGGGGCCTGCTCTCCTGCTGACTGTGACTGCTGCATGTTCATTTGGCTGAGCATTACTTTGTACACCTTTGTAGGTATTGGTGCTGTTTCATTAAATTTGCTTTTAGTTCAGCCCATGGGTCTGCTCTCCTTTTCCTGATTCCCCCTTCCTGGCAGCTGAAGGGTTGTCAGGTGATAGCGCAGCTGTTGTTTAGCCCCAGATATGAGGTAAACGTAGACAATAAGAGAGACCGAGTGCAAGTGCAGGCTTTCTCCTCCTACTACTTGAAAACTTATTTCTAGCTTCTGTTCATCAGTAACACAAAGCAAGAGTATCACACCTCTCTAATCTGCCTCTTTTTGCTTGTTTTATTTTTGTAATGTGGTACAAAGAACCAGTAGCAGCAGTAAAAGTAACCATTGTTTCCTGTTGACTGTTGCCAGAATTAAGCATAACTCATCTACATTTCCTCCTTGGCATCCAGATGCACTAACAAAACCTTTGATATTTGGTATTTTATCCCTGTATCTTCCTTTAGAAGCTCAAATACAAAATGTGATGCTGCTGGATGACCTGCCTTGCTAATACAGAGAAATTGAGGGAACTGAAATCCTATCAAGAACTTTGAGTCCAACCAAGTACTAACTCCACTTCAAATTCCTTCTTGTCCAACTGTCTCAGACAGGTAAGGAAAGAACCTGTAAAGATAAATGATTCTGTTAAAAGTATTTTATATCCATTTATTGTTACTGAAAGTAATTTCTTATGGTCATGTTTTTCTGGCAAGGCGCAACTAGACACAACTTTTTTGCTTTGTTAAAACAATGGAATGTTTCCTACTCTGTGCAATAGTTTGTAAGTTCCTTGGGAAGTATGCTGATTACAGGTGAAAAGAGGACTGAAAATGCTATACTGTGGCTTTAGGGCTCAATCTCCTGAAATAACTTTCATAAAGAAAAAAAAAAAAGTATATTGTATTTCTAATTTGGAAAGAATGAGCGTATTTCACAAACCAGTCACCAACACTTATCATGTTGTTCTCTGATCTACTCCTGTTTTGAATGGTTTTTTTTCCTAGATTACAGGTTGACCCAGAACTACTGATACAAACTTTAAAATTAAAATTTAAAATTACAGGAAGTGTGCACTTAGCTTTTGTATTCATCAATGTGTAATCAGGAAGTTTCAGGAATCAATGCTTTTTTTTAGTGTTTCACAGGTCCAATTATACTGTTAGCTAGGGGGCAGGATATGGCAGGATTCCTGCATTTTTTAAAAAAAGTTCTGGAAAGTTGAGCTTCCATGCTGCTTAGTACTTACGACAAATTTTTTTGACCTAAATTTCTATTTTCTTAAAATACAAAAGATTCCAGGGTTAGCCTCAAGTCCTCCAGTGCTTTTTCATGTGAGATTTTTATCTCTTTTGTTAGCAAAATTAATCTTTAGTTTCTATTTTACTGACAGCCTTCTGGTTTACTATTACTGCTAACTTCTTCTTTTATTTGTAATGTCTCATATTCAACATCTGAATTCCAGTCAGAGTATTTTGATGTTACTGGATTATCACACTTGTCAAACTGTGTCTTGATGCCTCTCACTTATCTTCCCTGAGGCAAGTTTTTGTTGTATTCCTTGCATTACAGGAAGCCGGGTAAATTTCCATCTGAGCTGTTTTATCTATTGACAGACTTGGAAGTTTATTGAATTATAGGCCTGATCTAAATTTTAGTGAATGTACAGGTAGGATTCATGTTGGCTACACAGGCTACCCAGCAAAAGGAAAAATTAAGCTCAGAATGCACTGTGACATCAGGACCTGAACATACCAGCAAAACATCTTTCAGATGACAGCTACGTCAGACCCAACTCTGACACACGAGGAAGCATGGCCAGGCTGTAACATTCCTTTTCTCTGTGCATGGAAATCTGTATTGTAACACAGGCAGTACGCTATAGCTTTCTGCTAATGTAAACGCACTCACATGAACTCATCAATTTATACCTGAAAAGAAGGTGGCTGAATGTTTTACAGTATCATACATGTTTTTAAAATGGTGCCTTTTTTCTAGTCAAATAATTACAAGCAAATAAATAAATAGAACTCAGTTGTTCTCAGCTTTTAAAAATAATGCATCTATGAATTTTATTACGTTATCATCTTGGACTAAAGTATTTGTTACCAGTATTTGCATTGACAGTGTCCCTGAATAATCAGAGGCACATATGTGTATTTGTATAATGCCAGGTTATATATGTACAAAGAGGGTACCCTAAGGATTTTACCCTATCATCAGATAGTCAGATTCAGTGTTGATACACTAAGATGATGTATATAGTTATTTATATATTTATTAGGCAAAAGTTAATTAAAAAGTTCAGCCATTCCCACCCCCCAAAAATTCACTGAATGCCAAATCTGTATTGCTTGGTGACCATGTCTACATTGAGCATTGTGGACTACAGGAGAAGACATATAGAGTGAAACAGTTGGTGCTGAGGATCTGAGGTCCAGAAAAAATGCATTTCAGGTGCTCTTTACTTTGGCTTACCTCTAGTGTGATTCCAGGGACTGAGGGTCCAATTGTAGCTGTGCTGCCCTCCTGGTGCATTCCTCGAGTTCAGGTACTACAAGACTAAGGCGCGGCAGACCACAAACCACTAGGAATTAAAATGCCACTGTGAATGTACCCTGTGTGAACGTACCCTGTGTGAACTCATACAGAGGCAGGTCCCAATCCTATCCCTTTCAGAACTCTCTTTCAACAGACCTGGAAGCTGTCGGCAACGCCCGCTCAGATGTGTTGGCTTCATGCACTGATCAAATGAGTTACCAGGCCCCTTCACAAGCTCACAATGGAAGACACTGTATTAATATGCTCTTGTTTGAACTCCACACCTCAAAACAAATTTGAAAGGAAAAATGTAACTTTTTAAAATAAAGGAGGCACTAACAAACTGATGTTCTGATCCCAGAAGGTTAGCTATTTCTTTTGTCAGAACAAAAGAGCCGGAAAGCTGGAAGATGGCTGTCAGAATTCAGAATAAATCTACAATTGTGGAAGTTAGAAATTGTAGTAGTATCTATTAAATTATTGACCGTATTGCTGAGACTTAAGGATTGTTCATGGTACACTCCTTAAAACTTTGTTCACCCTGGCTCCCTTTAGAGATTCTCTGGGCAGAGACTTTTTTTTCCTGTGTCCTTGAGATCTTCATTATCATTGAATCAATATCTGCTATAAATCCTTCCTTATGAGGACACTTGGAAACATTTTAAGCTTAACAAGTCCTGTTTGGGCTGAACGGACGATCAGATCTTTATGTGCAATGCTTCTCTTTTCTAAGGTAAAGTGGTTCTGCAACTTGGTAACCTATAGATGTCAGTCAACAGGAATGATTTATTAATGTTTCCAGTGAGAGTCAGCTTAATGAATACAAACACCACAGCCATGCAGGTCCCTTGGCATCTGCCTTCCTGATTTCAGAAAGGGGAAGCAATGCTTCAGACAACTTTTGAAATGGATGTTCCAGTTCCTTCAGAAACTTAAAAACAGAAAAGCTTTCTGACAAGCTATGGCACATCAGATTCTTATTTTGGATCATCATACAAAATGGATAAAGGAACAGCAGCAGGCAGCAACAGAGTGGCGTTGAACCACACAGAAGGAACTACATGATAGAAGGACACTGTGCTGCCGAGAAACCAGAGAACAAAACACAACACAGCAGCGCTGTTTGTAGAGCATGATCTCCTCCATAGGTTTCTCTAAAATCTCTGCCACTGTTTGATTCTAAATGTACTCAGAGAAGATTTCGTGGCCATTATTTTTTCTTCCTTAAAAACCTGCACTAATAACAAAGGCCAGGATTGCAATGCTCCTTGAAATGCTCATAGCTGCATAATAACAAGCTTATTTCCCCCCACATTTTAGGGGATGTGGGCTCAGGCATATTATTCTACCTTTGAATCAATGTAAGACAAAGTCAGAATTAGGGGAACCTTACTCCTGAAAAACACCCTAAGCCTGAATCTAGATAGTACCTGCAGAGTGGAACTTTTTCCCAGTGTAGCTTAATAAAATGCACCCTCTCCCTCCATCTCCAAAGTAATGATCAACACTTAGCAAAGACAAATAACATCTCTGCTTAAACAAAGATCTCTTTAGCTTATACAACCTCACTCCATCAGGAATCACACATCTGGAAACCTAGAGCAACACCATGCTTTGGAGCACAGGGTGGAGAAAATCAAGGTAACTGGGAGTGAATTGGAATATCTGTGTGGTTTACCACAGCGTGTGCTGTGATAGCAGTGCAGTGGCTACACCACAGTCAACAAAGGAACCCCTACTGGTCTGCAGCTGTGTCCAGCTACTTCATTCACCAGTAAAGAAACAGCCGCTATCAGTAAAAGATGGTAGTACAGATGAGGTCTAGCCTAAAGCAAGAGTTGGGGCCACTCAGTGATGGAAGGGCTGACAACAAACACAGACATGGCTGCTGGCTCCCAACCCATTCACCTAAACATCCCTCTCTGGTTTTGTATGAATGAAGACAGCACACCAGTAAAACCTCCCAAGGGTGACCATCTCCATCACATACCACAGCAGTTCATTACTTCCTTGATAAGGTTTTCAGAAAATCCTGAACAGCTAAGTCAAATTTAAATCACTCACTTCGGCTCTTATAGAATCATAGAATATCTCCAGTTGGAAGGGATCCATAAGGATCACTGAGTCCAACTCCCTGCTCCTTGCAGGACGTATCTCCTTAACAAGGTGGTTGGCTGTGTGTTCTCCTGACTAGAATACTGCTGCTTCCCCAAAAAAAAAGGGAAGATTTAAATTTTATGTGAGTTTGGTGTCCATCTTTACAACAAAACTATGCAAAGTGAACATGTACCTAAACACACTGAACTGCTTGATTTCAGCTGACACAGATGTATGGAAATGCACTGAATACCCTCAGCCACTAGCACACCCAGCTTCACCATAAAAGCATTACCCAGAATAAGGCTGAGTAACTCAGGGCCATGAAAATAAAGCCAAGTTGCCATTGTTTAAAAGATTTCAAGTAACAATCACTGTTGCTGCCATTAAAGAACGTTTTGTTTGTTGGGTTTTTTTCCTTCAGATAGAAAGAGTTCAGGGAATCCCTTCACTGCTGCAAGCTTCCTTGAGGAGCAGAAAGAAAGCATGGAGGAATTGCACTACCCATACTGCGAGAACACAGCAGGGCAAGGATAAGTAATTTAACATTTCTTAAAGGACATCAACCTTATGGTAGTGGCTAGACCCTTGGCCAAGATAGGCTAGACATACACTTCTCACAGTCAAAATTTTTAAGTGAAGTGTTTTTAACAAGAATAGCAATGGGCAGCTAACAGGTTAGACAGCAATATAGACTGAGATGTGCAAATATCTGCATTCCAAAAATGGGCAATTTAAGCTTCTACTCTTTTCACAACGCCCTGAATATTAATGTGGGAATATATTGGTACCCACAAATCTCTACACAGTGTTTTGCTGAAACACTGGAAGTTCCAAATTTCCATATTTGTTTCTTGCTCATCATTTGATAATTATTTGCTGTTGGCTGTTGTCCCAAACCCCCTTCCTGACATTAAAAATGTCACTACTGGCCTAATTTACAGCATCCACAAATCCCATAGGCATAAACATTGAAAGTTGATGCTCAGCTTTTTCAGAAAGCTGTCGTAAAAAAGAGATCTGTCTAGACAACAGCTGAGGGGAAGAGCTCTGGGTTATGCTTTCTGAATCAGGGCTCCTTCTCCTAGCCTCTTTCTTCTTTAGAATGTATTGGGGTTGATGCCACTGCCACGGAAACCAGTTCCAAAACTTCTTGTTCATCATGACAGCAATAGTAAAAAAAAAAAAAACCAAACCAAACAACCCCCCCCCCACCTGACTAGCTGATAGATAGATGGATAGATAGGCAGGCAAATGATGATGCCATATCTCTGTTGCTCAGACACTCAAGCAGGTTCCAGATCACCATTACTGACTTACAGGAAAGCTTTGGAAGCAGAACATGCTGCTGCTTAGGGCTGACTTGGAGAAGTTCAAGGATAGCCTTCAGCCCTGCAGGCTTCCCTGGAGAACAGGAATGGAAGATGTAGGCTAGGCATCCACATGGTGGTTCAAGGGTTAAAATGTGACTGAAAGACTGGAAACACGACTACCTGTCCTGGTTCTCCTCTGCATTGTCATCAACTAGCCTCTCTGTAAAATGATCATAGAATCATAGAATATCTCAAGTTCAAAGGGACCCATAAGGTTCATTGAGTCCAACTCCCTGCTCCTCACAGGACTACCTAAAATTAACCATATGACTAAGGAGTCATCCAGACACTCCTTGACATCTGTTCAGGCTTGATGCCATGACCACTTCCATGGAGAACCTGTTCCAGTGATCGACCACCCTCTCAGTGAAAAACCGTTTCCCAATGGCCAACCTGAATTTCCCTGATGCAGCCTCATACCATTTCCATGTGTCCTATCGCTGGTCACCAGAGAGAGGAGATCAGCACCTCCCCCTCCGCTGACCCCCTTGAGGAAGGCATACACTGTGATGAGGGCACCCCTCAGCCTTCTCCAGGCTGAACAAACCAAGTGACCTCAGCTGCTCCTCCTAAGTCTTGCCCTCGAGGCCTTTGACCGTCTTGGCTGCCCTCCTCTGGACACACTCTAAAAGTTTGATGTCCTTCTTATATTCAGGCACCCAAAACTGCACACAGTACCCAAGGTACATAAAGACATCCTTCTGCAGATACAACTACTGCCACTTTGCAGAGGCACTGCTCAAAAAGACTTGAAATGTAACGTGTTACTTATTGAGCCACGCCACCCACAGGCATCAAGCACAGAAGCAGTGAAAAGTGCATCTTCACAAGCACAGTAGTTGAACTAGGCAAAAGCTAAGTGTTTCCAGCTTAGTAAGTTTTCATTTTAATGCTGGAAAGAGAATTTGTGTCATGGCCATCCTACATATCCATTGATCATCCCAAATTAGCATTCAGACCTCTTCAATCCTTGAATTTGGCTCTAAAATGAGCGTTGCTGCTCCTTAGTAGCACCCTCTTCTGGTACAGTCTGTCATAGGGGAGCATCCTCAGCACCAGCTGTCCTGTCAGAGGGTGCATGGGACGTGGCCTCCCGGATGGAAGTCGGGTGCTACTGTGGTGCGATGGGGCTGGGAGAGGACGAGGGGAGTGTCAGTGACTTTAAGATAGAGGTGCTCGGCACTTCTGAACACAGCCTCGCACAAGAGCTGGAAGGCTAAGTCTGACCCCAGGTGCCAATGTTAACTCGACTGACAGCACCCGTGGCAGAGAAGCACACGTTACACTGGACAGTGCTAATGTGGGAAAGTGCTTAAAGAAGAAAGAGAAGACAACCACCCTTCTGAACTTGTGGTTAGACCCAGAGTATTATGAGCATATTCCTGTTGGACTGTGCTATAACTCTCAAGCCTTGGAAGCCCATTGAGCCAGCCGTAAAGTCAATCAAATCCCTTCTGATTCAGCATCATTTCTCTCCCTTCCTTGCAGCCAATGTGTCTTCTTCACCCACGCGAACAGGCCACACATTCCTTTTAGCAACAGACACTTGATTAGATGCTTTGGGTGAAGGTCAGCTTTAGCAAGGCCAGGTCAGAACTAAAAGGCTGTTTCTAATACCAGGAAAACCTTACTGATTATGGCTGATTTTTCCAAATGCACTTCCTTCATTTTAGCACTCCCATTTGCTCTCTTCTGTTGTGTTTTGGTTTGGTTTTTTAGCTGATGTCCTTCACTAACAACTGCGTTGTTTTCCATTGTTTAAACTCAAAGACAGGTATGGTGCTGTCTTCTCTTCAGCTTCTTTTCAGTGAAAAGCACCAAGCAGTTTGGCTGGATTCGGGGAGCCCTTTGGCATCAGAAGTTGAAAGTGATCCCCATAACATAGGAATAACTTAACTCCTTATAGGGTCAAAAGCTGGAACCTGCATCCACTTAAGGCATTCCCACGGCTCCTACTGAATGTCAGGTGTGCACGGTGAGGGGCTGTAAGGCCAGACTTTCACAGGGGGAAATGCTCAGCATTCTCAGGAGCTCCCGATTCATGCACAGGTGCTCAGCACCTCTTAAAATCCAGTCCTGCACAACTTCAATTTTAAAACCCAGGATAGATTTCCACACTGGCAGCATCCATAAGTTTTGATATTAAGGATCATCTGAGAAATCAAGACAAAAATGTATCCATTTATTTTGATTTTTATAAGCAAATACAGCATAAGCTTTATACATTTGTTTTTTCTCTTTGTACAGAGGCCTTCCCACTGAGTAATACTATGATGTCACTCAGCTGAAAAAAAGTGATGTGCATATGATGAACTGTAAGTTTAAATTGTGCATTAACCGGATTGTGAATTTAGTGAATATAACAGCAAACTGAATATTCGTTTCACTCTGGTGATATAAGCACATATGATACGAAATCTGAAAGCCCATGTTCTGTAAAAAGGGATTAGCTAGTAAGAAAGGAGAGCAAACACCCTTGGGAAGGAAATTCAGAATACAGAATTGTGCTCCTTCAGCTTAGTGTCTTTTCAACAAGGGTCTCTGAGTTTGCTTTACACGTTGTCTGCATTTAGCAACTTGGAATACTCAGAAATATTAGCATTTCTGCTATTTAGAATCCAGATCAATCTGAAGTAACTGAAGTAACCATGACACCGTGTGCATGTCAGTCCATTTTTCTGGAGTGTATATATATAGATAGATGTATTTTTGGAGGAGGCTTGGCAAGGATTATTTTCCTCACTGTAGCTGTTGAGGAGATACCGGATTGAATTTGGATGCTGCTGGAGTTCTGCAATTCAACGTTTTGCCACTTGATGGCACCAGCAAAACGCTTAAATTCGATCAAAGTACAGAGATTTTAGATGAAGGTAATTTGAAGTGTAAATGTAAATTCTTCAAAAGCAGAAAATGAACAAGTTACACCTCTCATATTAGCACTGGTAACTAGAGCATATTAGAAACCTGAGAATAATTCTGCAATGATTTCTCAGTTATCTTTACAGGGCTGTGAGGCACGTTGTTTGACACCACCACTCTCATTTTAACCTCCCTGCATGAGGTACCCACTCCCCATTTTATGTAAACTCAGACACACCAGAAAAGCAGGCGAGCTACTTGTAAACAAGCCACAGAAGCCACACAAGGAAACCTGCAACCCCGCTCTTTGTAATTCACTGCTTTTTGCAGGCTTCTCTCTTTATTACCTCATTACATCACGCAACACAAGCAGGAGTGTGGTTACCTACAGGAATGTACAATCTAAAACTCCTCTGACTGGGACAGCTTATGGCCTTTGACCACTGATGCACATTAGAGGCATTGGCTGTGCTGCTTCTGCAGAATTTGATTACAAGGTACAAAGAAGTGGCAAATTTCCCTGAAAGTTTCTTCCTACAAGTTTCCTAAGCACCAAGTGACAAGCACTGGCCCGTGCACTTTTGTAAGATAACGGAGCACTTTTAAGGTTGTTTTAAAACCAATGTCCGTGCAAAGTGCATGTACAAACTCTCACGTTGTACAGTCAAGCTGGGTGATTCTGTTTTATTACTTAATCCATCCCCAAGAAAACTCCATTGACTGCAGCCGAATGATGCTGGGAAACAATTCGGCCTTGCTAGTCAAAATAAGTGTCCTGTTATGTGACATTTACAAACGTATCCCTGAAACAGCAGAAACACAGACAGATTGTAGAGTAAAATTAAAAACTGCCCTTTGCATGGGGTAGGAGGCCTGCTGGGTTTTTAGTAATTCCTAGGCTGGTCGACCTCAAACGCTTCTTGGTTAAGGGTGCTCTGGGACACATTCACTTCACAGCAAGTGTTCCTTGTGCCAGCTCCATACCAAAATGGGTCATCCATGTACAAAGGCTGAGGCAGAGACTGTGGCACCTTTCTGGGGATTTGCTTCCTTAAGAGGAAGCAATCAGGGACTGCTGGGACTCTACGCCCTTGTGCTAGCAGTATAAGGAGGAAGGAGGTTTTACACAAGAGTAGATCTCTCTCTGCCCCTGTACATACTGAAAAGTACATGACCTTGGACTCTGAATATTTGATCAACAGCACATTGATGTACTTTCTCATTATTTTGCACTCACATCTTAACCTGAAACATGCTGGGTCTATATGCTTTGTCCTAGTTTGAGCATTTTCTTTTCCTAGAAGGTTGCATTTTCCCTGTCTTCAAAAGACTTTTAAATTGAAGGAAATAATATATCCTTTAAAACAAAAGTGAAAGCCACAAAAAAAAAAAAAAAAAGAATTCTTCCACATTCATAGTCCAAAGTCTTTCAGAGCAAATATTTTTCCTGCTGTCAGGGACTATTAAGCGGTCACAGCCACATGGAACCTTTCCTGAAAAATACCCTCCAAATGGTGTTCTGCAGCCCTACCTGGGAGCTATTAACACTCAGTTTATTTACCTTATAGCCTGTGAGGGCTCCTTTGGGCCATTACTGTCTTTTGTGGGAAACTAATTGCCAGGCATGTGCAATAACTCTGTACACTTTCATGGGACAGCTATGCCTTTGCCTGAAGGCACACTACGTATCCTTGTGTAGTTTTGCACTAGAATGAATCACTGGGTTTGTGCAGATGTGCTTTTGTAAGTGCATTAGCAGTAGGTCACACACGTACGCCCTGCCAGTTAAATGTACTGGAGAAAAGTAGTTGCCTCCTCCCATCTAAAGGTGTAATGAGTTCACACCAAACAAGACTGCAAAATCCTGAAAGGCCTTGAAAAACACGGTTCGGTCTTTGCCAAGAACCCCAGTTATACACACACACCCCCACTTCATCAGGCTAGAGCGTTTGAAGCTGTCCTTCCAAAGACAAGTCACACCAGTGAGGTTTTTGGTGGGTTCAGTGACAGCACAGAATGAATGAAAAATGGCTTTTTTTCCATATGGGTTTTAATCTGCTTTCACTGTTTATCATGCCACACCACACTTCCACTCCTGTGGCTGTTCCCCAGCTCCCCAATCCCTGGTGGTTCCCTGACCTGCAGCTCCCTGACCCAGCAGGTTTTAAGGTTAGGCAAGATAAGTGATTGCCTCCCTTTGCAAGAATAAAGGGCTGCAGAGAAAGCCAATTTACACATATGAAATGTTTTATTCTCCAGCCATAATTTTCTTTCTGTTAAAACCGGCAAGAATGATACATCTTATTCTCTTAATAATTTATTGAGGACGTGGGAAATTAACAGGAAAGAGCAGCAGAGATTTCTCTGGCCTGATCTAGAAAAGAAGCTAAAGGTCACGAGGCTCCCCACACTGCATCACTCTCAGGCCAGCACCACACCTGAGAGAAGAAACAGCTTTTCAGAGGCTCCTACCATGTGTCAGAGAGTAGAAAAATGGTGGGAAGTGGGAGCCCCTCACGAAGGTCACACAGGTTCCAAAGTGTCTTTTATTACCAGCACTGAACAACTGCGTCTCTGCACTCAGTGCTCAGCACTACCTCAGGAGGGGAGCTGCAGAACAACTGCAGGCAAGGCCAGTGTCTCCATAAGGATACTCTCTCTCATGTGAAATTTGATTTAGGCCTATTTTATCAAAAAGTGTTTGATGAGTGCCCACAGTACACTCGCTGCTAGGGAAATGGGATGGTGTCCATCTGGACCACTCCCTGGATTCATTCTGGGGCTCTCCAAACTGGGAGCAAGTCCCTCCAGCTTGAGTCTGTCTTTTCAAGAAACTGCGATAGACCCCATACCCCCCGTGAACTGAACATAAAGGGGCAGGCGGTGTATTACTAAGCAACTTCTTCTCGTGTGATAGTGGCAGACTCCAGCAGAAGTCTAGTGAACTCCAGTGAAAGCATCTCAGAGCCAAACTTGGGAAAATTGCTATTCCTTTCTGCCTTTCCACGCAGAACTCTACCTTCCTATACTGCCATCCATTCTGGGTGGCTTCAGGCTTGATTAACCAGTTTGAGATTTAAAAATATAAGGAACACCCTAAATAACTGTCCACCTTTGAAAATACAAAGCTTTGCTGGCTGTTACAACCTGAGCTTGCAAAGGTTCTCTAAATCATGGTAGAGTCATGAAAATGCATGTTCATCCTTATTTTATTGCTGCCTTAAGTTTAGAAGTTATGATGAAAAGTGCTCTACAAAGCACTTAAGTAGTTCTGCCATGTCAGAGCACAAAGCAGACCATCTCTCCTTATCTTTGCAGATTTGTATTAGGAATTTGACCAATGAATGGACTGAAGAATGTAACAATTTGTATTGTAACACAACGTAACAATGTGAATGGAAATGGAAATTAAATATACTGTTAGTGTTTATTTTCAGTTCACATTTTTACATAATACAGTTGTAACACAATGGGAATTGAAAATAAACACTAAGAAGTGTTTTCTTTCATGTCCGCAGCACCAGTAGACATACAGCACCAGTCTAACTGTAGAAATGGCAAATCTGTATCTGTGGAATAAACTTTTAAAGATTGCTGTTCTGTAATTACGGCTATTTCTGTAAAAGCTTCCCGTTTTCAAGACAGACACAAAGTTTGAATCAGAGTCACACAAATGTAACAATACAAAAATGGTTTTCAGAATCCAACACTTTGTTAAAGTCCTGTTACCTTTGTAGAATCCCACATTAAAAGTAGATCCTTTGTTCAGCTCAGTTGAGGCATGAGTTATGCTGGCACGGTAATTTCTGAGATCTCAGACATCATGTTGGTTGCACTGAGTCCCATAGCATCTCAGCACAGATTTCACAACGAAATGCACGACTTCTGCACGTTGTATCAGAACAACATTGAAGAAAGTTGATCGGGCATTTGAAGTTTATCTTCAAAATACCCATGTCAGTATGGAAAGAAATAAGCGCAGGACATTATTTAAATGCTTTGAGCAAGGGAGCATATTTCCTCATTGTAGCTATGCAACACCCATTTTTACGGACACTAATTCAATGATGGAGTGGACAAGCTGCAGCTCTTGAGTCACAGGTGACTTGAACAGAGGTTGGGTGCAGCTCCCACGCCACCGCTATGTCATTAACCGGGTGACTGGGTAATCCCGAGATGTGGGAGGAAAAGAGTTCCCACGAGACCTGCTAAGGCTGAAACGATGGAGTCCCCATGGGGCTCATTAGCATCCCACACAGCTCCATCCTCAAAGTGAGCAAGGGGAGGAGGCCTGAGAAGTTATCACCATCTCCTCCTTGGGAATGAATCTGGCACACCCCTCTTGTCACTGAGAAAAAATGAAGGGGGAATATGATGAATTTTGGTATGTGGCTCATAGAACCAAGAAACTTTGTGTGACCCCTGGACAAATAATAAAGGTTAAAAAAAGACTATCAGCAGTCAACCTCTCCTACCCATAGATGGTCTTTCAAGCAAGACCTGGTAACTAAGCCTTCCTCATTAAATACATGAGATTTTCAAGCTCCAGGTGAACCACTTAGATTAGTCCAGTCATATTGTCTCTCAGGCAATTTTTTTTTTGCATTATACCACAAAGAATCATTAAGCAAATTAATTAATTTTTTAATCTTAGACATTTTTCTGACTTGGTACCATTTCCAAGAGACACTTAGCTAGCCTCAGTGATTGAATTCTTACCCTTTAAAGTTAGTGTTTTCTTTTGATTGCTTTTTTAAAATTTCTTTGAAGCATAAAATAAGTCTCCAGGTAAAATATAAATAATTTATCAGCATGGAATGAAAAAGTATTTTCTCTGCAAGTATAAACAGGACATGTTTTCTGTTTTGCATTACTGATAAAAGGATATTTACTAATAGCAGATATCATCATTAATTAATATAGAGATTATTACACAAAAGTGTAACAGGCTACATTTTTACCTCGCTCTTTTAAAAAGACATTCTGCACATCACATGTTCCTGGTGTCTTTTCAGTCTTTGGCACCTGGCTACGCAAAACATTCCTCAGGTAATGAGTGGTATCAGTAAGAATATTGTCTGCACTGCTTACATATCGATTTGTCCCTAATGTGTATTGATTGCACTGATTCAGATAAAGTGTGGGAGGTGCAAATGAATGTGAGTCACTTCAGGTAACTTCTTTATTATTTTTCTGCCCTAATGCAGGCTTTGTAAATGACCAGACACTTTGGCTAAGTTAAGTACATTTCACCTATATTATATCTTATCTTTCCTTAATGAAATAAAAAGGCAAGCTGTTCCTCTTACGGCCATAATTGCACAGTTCCATGGCAATAAGCAGCAGCAATGATACTAGGTAAAAAAACTCTCTCTGGAATGAAGCATGCAATGATAAGTTTAGCAGGTTAGCAGCGTTTGCCGAGCACACCCACCCTCCTAACAAATACTGATCTTGATGACTTGCCTGTTGGCTAATTGGCTTTTCTTGGCTGTGTTGTTCATGGCCTCTTTACCTAATGTGAATTAAAGTGTTTGGGAGCAGCTACCAAGCACAGCTAAGGGATCTAGAGTATGTATAAAGCAGATTTATGAGTGAGAAGCCTCGGAAAAGCCCAGCTTGGTAAGACAGCTCATTACATCATGATGTGCAGCCTCAGGAACGGAATGAATTTGGCTCCTGTATAAGGTTGTGACTTCGCTTTATCCAGCAACTGGGGAAAGGTGTTTGCTCTCAGTAAGCTGCTGTATGCAGCTGCAGTAAAGTTTAGAAGAATCTAAACAGTGCTAGTCTCTCTTACCAGAATAAATCGCTGCTTTAATTTTCCTCAGAAGATTTCAGGGTTCCCCTGATTTTCAATAGTTCTTTAATTATTCTATCATTTAAAAACTGAAAGCTGAAAAGAACAGCACAGGCCCTCCATGAAATCCTGGTTCTCAGTATCCCATAAAACTGTTCAGTTTAGCTTTATCCTCCTTCTTCCCAGAAATAAATGTCATCTTAGAGGCAAATTTTGATTTCACAAGCACAAACTCAGTTACTATTAATTGGAGCTGTGCAAGAATCAGAAGTCCACATTTTCCTTTCCTTAAGCCACATAATGAGAATTGGCATGACTGTGCAAAAGCTGCATGGGAATGATCATTGTGAATTCTTTGTAGGGTGCAAGCAAGAGAGGATTAAAGAACTAAGAAACTGCCTTTCTGATTCTCACATATCTCCCAGTTCTCGCAAAGTGTTACATTTAATGCTAAAACTGTGAAACACAAAACAAGGAAATCTTTCTTTCTGTCCTTCCTCCTGCCAACTCAAACCAACCCAAGACCACTGTGCCTGCCATTTCCAAACTCTCATTCCTACCAGACACACATTTCTAGGTACTCCATGTTCCCAAACTTCAGATCACCTGAGGATCAAGACACTGGGATTGATGCAAGCAGTCATCAGCCTTTCCATCCCAATATCCCTACCAAGGCTTTTGATGTGGTTGTCCTAAGGAAGACGTAAGGTAAGACAGCACTCTGTGGTTTACCATTTATTCTTGAAACTTTTTTAGAAACACTACTGATGTCGTGACTCTTTTCTAATGAAGCCTAGAAGAGCCAGAATCTGAATATATCAGTGGTCAAGCTAAGCATCTCGGCTTAAGTGGGAGCTCTGGGTGCTGATAGTTGCAACCTCCACGGAGGATACCTCAGCACCGAGAATGATGAACTAACCCCCGCCTCATGTGAACACCTTGGAGCCTCAGAAACCAACAGAGCTGCTAATCCCCACAAAAGCAAGACGGATCATTTAGTGTATTTGATGTCTTCTGTCAGACAAATTATTCTTCACAGTCCAATGGAGCCGAAGTGAAAAGGAAAAAAAAAAGGCATCAGCAGGATCAAAAGCTAGCAATTTCTGGGCCAAAATCATGCCTGCCATACCTTTGCTAAGGACAACATAGGTACCCCTGAAACAAGTGCTGAATGATTTAAAATAGTTTATCACTACACAGGTGGCAGAACAAGGTCCAGAGAGAAAAAGCAGCCCTTCCTATCATTTACAAACACTGAGATGAAGCCCTAGTCATTCATTAGTTACAGAACACCATGGAAGCTAATGTGAGGTGTTTGTTTTTAATCCCAGCAGCATTTTACCCTTAGAGTTTTTTACATAACATATTGAAGGAAAAGGGTATGAATTTTTTGTTCTTCTTCTGCTTTTCCCTGGAGGCCCTCTTTACATTGGGATTTTGACAGGTACTTCATTTTAGAAGACTTTAAGGATCACCTGCACAAATTGATGAGGAGTCCTTGGTAGCTGTTGGTAACACAGGATTATGGGGAATTTGGGACAGGAGAAAGCCAGCCCCTCTGTGTGCCATGGCAGCGCTTGCCAGGAAGGGTTTGGCCATCGCTGTGTGAAACAGAAGAAATGTACGCTGGCATGGATAAGAAGCTTTTCAGCAGAGTAAAAGCTGATAATGTTAAGTAGGAGGTCAATTTGCATTAATTAGATGCCATTCCCAGTAATCAGCACAGTGCTGGACAATTATGTATATAATTTGGCACAGGAGCCATTTTTAGTGGGGTATTTGTCCATCCAAACCCAAAATCTTTCCACAGAACATATAATCCTAGGAGTAGTCATTTTCAGTCAGTTTTAGTTGATCACTGGTCAATTTAAGAAACACTAATCATGTGTGGAGGTGGGCTTACAAAGCCTATTTTTGCACAACAGCAGGATCATCGGAGGCCAAGACCTATTTCCAGCAAAGCTTACCAGGTTCAGAATTACTAGATAAGGGGGCAGCTACCACCAGCACTTAAAAAATATTTCATTTACTGTTCCCTCCATACAGTTTGACTCCCTCTGAGACCGGGACACTCCAGTTCTCAGTGACTGAAGGAGAAATCTCTGGCTAAGTACAGGTAACTCAGATCGCACTCTGGTGACTTTTACCATTGGAAGGTTATATTTAAAAGCTTTGAACCTTTTCTACATCTCACGTTTACAAAACTCCTAGTAGCTATTCTGTAGTTAACACTGACAGCATCATTGCGAGATAAATAGGGGAACTGCAGCAGAAAGACTGGAGAGAAAAAAGCAGTGATAGAACCAGGGCTGGAAATTAAGCTCTTCCGAGCAGTCACTGCAGTTTCATTTTTATAAGACATCTAGTAACATTCAGTTATTCCTCTGATGGTGACACTATAAGTACAGAGCCAGCTTCACAATTCATCAGACTTCATTGTTTGTTGTTGTTTGTAAAAATCATTCACCGAAAATGCAATGAAAATCTTCCCTGCTGGTCTGTGAATCCATTCAGAGCTCCTGCAATTGGCCATGGGCAGACGGCCTTCTGCAGAGTCAGCTTTATCTAGTGTAAGATCCAGCTGTCAGTTGCTTGTCTCCAGCTCTCTGCCTGAGAGATCTAGCCTTGCAGATCTGATGGTGCAGGTAATCACATTGAGTGCTTCCAAATAGACAGTTGGGTTAACTTATGCCGATTAAACAGGTGATCTGATCTAACCCTGCTGATTTTGTACCAAAAGAGTGAGTTCTGTCTGCAGATCTGTGAGCTCAGTCTCCCAAGGTAGAAGAGACATGAGCTGCAACCCACAGAAAGAACCTCTTCCACCAGCACAGCTGTCTTTATAATGACCATTTTTACAGCTTAAAATGCAGAGCCATCTGTCATCCTGATCAATGGTGTTCCATTAAAACATGTTAAATATTTCCCCCGTAGGTAATCGATCTAGGCATGAAGTTTTCAGTATTCCCTCTGACTCCCAGAAGAAGGCTGTGCAGTGGCCAGGACAGCACCCATACTTCTAAGTACGTAGTTCATCCAGATAGAGCAAAATGCCTTTTTTTTTTTTTTTTTTTTTTTTAATATGAACCTACTCTGCAGCTCTTTCACAGGAGATGTTTTTTACACAGAGAGCTCCTGTGCTGTCCCAAACACTTGCAGGCCACAAATTAGGCATCACGGATACACAGAGTGAAAAGCTTTAGACAGTTTTCAGCCACCTCAGCAATATATAAACAAGATCAGAAGCTAACGGGATGTCCTGTGACTGAAGTCCTTTAAAAACTAATGAGCTCTGCTCTCGTAGAACCTAGCCAAGCAGCTCTGGAGACAAGAACAAGAAGAAACAGCAATAATAGCTGCTGACCATATATTTGGGGGAGGTGGGGGCTTCATTTAGAAGCCCAGATTATGCTTTGCAGCCCTTCAAAGAAATGGGTTTGGGCAGCAGCAGGTCTTTGCTCTTTCTTTCCTCTTCACAAGTCCTGCCAACACACTGACAGGCTGGTGTCTCTATTTCCACGTCGTCAAGAAAATAGATGTCCTCTTCGTGGATGGGCTTTGACTCCAACCTTGCCTTCCCCAGTGTAATGATGGAGACCGGGCTGGTCCATAAAAGAGAAGAGTGAATCTGTTCATGAATGATCACGTTTCTATTATTCTTCAGTTTGGCTAAATACTAGTTCTCTTCCCAAAGGGATGCAGCCTGAAGTTTGCTGACAGATAAAAGTCATGAATAG